ATAAATTTCAATTACTTTTATATCCTTTCCCTAATTTATTTTCTACTTGAAAAAGCAAATTAATTTTTTAACAAAAGCACCCATTTTAAATTATTACCAAATTACAATAAAAACTTTAAATAGAATAAACGATAAAATAAGTAACAAAAACGATTTTTGTGCCTTAGTTATTGTTGTAAAAGCTATAAATTTAATAAAAATAAATTCTTTTTCATCCTATTTTCCTTTTGGGGTCTTACTTGTCTAATTGTCGCTTTTAACTTCTTTCAACTAAGCTCTTAGCAAAAAAGTCCTCTCGGCGACATTTTCCCTTTTCATAGTTGTTACTGCTAAACGCGCTAAAGCAGCGAAGAAGGAGAATCAAGAAGAGTGCATCCATACCAACGCAAAAGTCCCCATAGTGCGCTAAAGTGACCGCAATTAATTAACATAAATACCAACAACAATAACAAAGCAACAGAGTCAAACAAGTAAGCCAACCAAATATTAAAACCACAAACATAAGCAATACCATAAACAACAACAACAATAACAACAACAACAGTTTAGCAACGTTCCAAATATAGCAATGCGAAAACGAATGCTTAAGAAAATTCTATTCTACTTGCCAATGTAACATTGTCAACCACAACGGCATTAATACCGGCAACAACAACAACAAATACACAACAAACAACGAAAGCAGATCAAATACAAGTAATTCTGATAAAAACAAGTTTTTAGAAGCTGCAGCTTTTTGGCCAGTTGCTGGTTTTGTGTACTACAACAATAAATGTAACAATAAAATCCAAAGCACTCATACACAAACTCACGCATGCACCCACAGTGTCCCACACACAAACACACATACAAGCACACAAGAACCAAAGAAAAAGGACACAGAAAAGTGGATTTATAAAGATAATAATTAGAAACGTTTAAAATGTCAGATAATGAAACGTGCGAAGTGTGGGGTGTGAGGTACGAGGAACGAATTTCGAGGTGCGCCGGTTTCACATTTTAATTTGTCCAAATAAAACATTTTTATTCTTTTTTATTATTATTTCTCTTTTATTTTTATTTTTATTTTTACTTTCATTTGTATTTATTTTTATTTAAATTTTTTCTTTTGGGTTTGAAATTTTTTATTTTTCATAGAAATGAAGTGAAACGTACGAATTTTTAGAACTTACAGAAAAGCAATTAATTTTTATTATCACAAAAAGGACTGAAACTTTTGTGTCAAAAAGTTAAAAGATTTAAATGAGAAAATACTTAAAAAAGATTTTATTTCCAAAGTACAAATATTTATTTAGTTCGTAATTATTGGAATGTAGCAGTAGATTTGATTTAAATATAAGATTTTAAAGGACAAAGGCGCATTTAGACCTTCAAGCGTAAAATGAATTAATGCTAAAAAGGATATATTTTGAAGAAAGATACGAGGCATGTGTATTATAGAAGTTCACTCATCTATACATAATTTTCCACAATTCAACATTCAACAATTGACATATTCAGAAAATTGTTGGAACTGAAATATTTCTGTTAAGAAAGTGCCAAGAAATTGACCATTAAAAAAGACCGCTTAGGTTAGGTTATATTAGCGACCCACTGTGGCGCATTGGCCCAAAGGGTTACTGTTTAGCAACTTAATGTTTTAAAATCTTCCTTAAATCTTTGACAAAACTTGAAATGCTTTTTAGAGGAAGATCTAGAGCTGGTCCAGCTCTTTACAAAAAGAGCCCCCAGCATACTGTAATAAAATGATATGCACTTATGTTTTATATCACGATATAAATATATATTTATATTATATATATTAAAATAATATTTAGAATAGCATTTAGTATTTAGAATAGAATAGAATTAGAATAAGATAGTATTTGGAATATTTAGAATAGAAACGTTGTTGCTCATGCAACATCTCGAATGCTTTTAAGAGCAGCACAGTATACACAAGCAACTCAAAATGCTTGGATTCAATATTCTCTTTTGTATATAGCGTGGCTTTAGCAACGGAGTAACGGATGTATTTGTTCATATTATGTATGCTACAATACTAAGTTGGAGCCCTGTGTACGCTATTCAGTAAAATTACAGTTGTAAGGCACTTTCACAATCCTCTCCACAACTATGACAGGAATGTAGTCCATTCAATTTTCTAGTATAGCTTCTTAATCCACCGCCAAAAAAATATATCATAAGTTTAATATCTTTACATAGTATCTAAATCAGAAGATTTAATATCATTGAGCTCTCCTATCTAGTATTAAATTGCTCAACACAGAAAAAAGACAACAAGTGTTTACATAATTTCAACAATATGCCCAGATTATTTATGTGCTTCGAATAATTACCTGAAGAACCCCGTCTAATTAGTTCGTCTGCTGTGTAGTTACCAAAAATGTCCCTATGATCGAAAACCCAGAGTAGAGCAATGTTAAACTGTGCTCACATCTTATACAAAGACGTGTAGCAGTCAAAAACCTTCCTGAATGCAAATTGGACTGAACTCAAGTACCTTGAATTATCTTACCTGATTGATTGTGTGTAAATACTCCTATTGAATACATTATTCACTTTCTGACAAGGTGTGGTTTTACTTATAGCGATTATCTGCGTTTGAAAAACAGTATAAGGATAAGAAAGCCTATAATATTTTGATATATTTAGTCTCTTCAACAAAACTCCATGGCTACATCACTATCACTACATCACTATCACTTTTAAGCAGTCAGTGTAACGTGTCAGTGTCCCAATAAGGGACATTTCTATAGTCAGGTGTTTGTAGATGGAAAATTGATATTTAATTTCCTACCGAAATTAAAAACAGGAGAGAGTATTCAGTCCGAAATATACGGTGCATGTGTCAAAACTTTTCAACCAAGATCTCTTAATTTGTTCTGAATCATCAAGGATGTATGTGACCTAGCATCGACATGTTGAAACACCACTACTGTTCTGTTGGGCAATACTGATAGCTTTTCGTTGATTATTTCATTCAAGGGGTTGGGTTGTGCGCAAAGAAAGACCGAACTGAACGTTGCACCAGGCTGAAACAGTTCATAGTAAACAATTCCCTTATAATCCTACAAAATCTTCAACGTAACTTTTTTAACCGTCAATCTAGGCAATCTAGACACCCTTATTTCTGGAAGGTTCGGGTTTTGTCTGTGAACGCCTGCATTGAAATTCTAGAAAATACCCAGTATTTCTCATTAACTTTAAAATATATTATTTGAAAAAAATAAAAAAAAGTAAAGCCACTGTTATTAATATTATGCGTAA